CCTAGAAGGATGTGAGGTTAAATTGCTTATCATCATGTGCAGAATATGTGTAATATAGAATATAAGTGTGGCCTGCTTTGTATCATGTTCTACGCAGACTTTGTGCTCAAGCGTCACTCAACAAATTTGTGACAAATGTGATAAATGAATGACAAAACCTTCACAAGTAAACTGACTTTTCATGTTTATTATGTTTCCAGAGTAGATAATGCTCAATGCAATGCATGTGCCATCATATGTTTTTAGCATGATGTGCCTCCACATTCTTATATTACTGTTTCTATAAAACAAAAGCAAATGAGGGATCATATTGAGCCAAACACATACTCATGTAACATACAACATGTTCAAGGTTACATTTGACAGAATTGTGTACAAATTCAAAAAGAGACAGAGCAGAATATTGTCAAAAAGGCCAGTTGCCATTCAACATTTTAGCACATCTGAATTCCATCATTCTAGTTGTCTTTCACTTGCACTTTAATCATTGATGTGCCAGCATCTGACATTGTAGCCACAATGGAAACCTGATCTTTCTTGATTTTGAGACTGCGACCACTGGCTTTTTCCCTGACAAACGGACCATCTGTGCTGCCATTGTACATCTGATTATAAAGGTCATAATTGCACTCTGTGCTATTATCAAAGATTCCCACTGCGTACCAGTTTGAGTACAGGTTGTAGTCATAGGGAACGGAGAACATGACAGCCAACTTCCCAGTGGTCTGTTTTGTTTGTTCATTGCAGAGGTTGTAAGTGAAGACTCCGACGGCTCCTCGAGCACAGTCAGGGGTCTTGGTGAACAGTGCAGTCCCAGATGAAGATGGATCGAGATGAGCTACCAAAGGCTCAGTGCACTTACCACTGATGATATGGTAACTAGAAAGAGTCGAGAAAAATATGACGTGAACACGAGAAAGGGGAGAAAACATTTGAGTAAATGCAATGCATTCATGCAGGATTTATTCCAGTCAAAAGAAGAAACAAACAAGTCACCTGGGTTCAGACAGGCTGTACTGGGAGGATTCATTTTTAATCTCAATGGTGCACTGACGATGTGTTGGAAGAACTCCAGCAACAGCCTCACCGACCGCTATTGCTGTCTGAACGTA